CCTTGACAATCCTAGCCTTAACTTGATGATCCTTGACAATCCTAGCCTTAACTTGATTATCCTAGCCTTAACTTGATGATCCTTGACAATCCTAGCCTTAACTTGATGATCCTTGACAATCCTAGCCTTAACTTGATTATCCTAGCCTTAACTTGACAATCCTAGCCTTAACTTGATGATCCCAGCCTTAACTTGATGATCCTTGACAATCCTAGCCTTAACTTGATGATCCTTGACAATCCTAGCCTTAACTTGATTATCCTAGCCTTAACTTGACAATCCTAGCCTTAACTTGATGATCCCAGCCTTAACTTGATGATCCTTGACAATCCTAGCCTTAACTTGATGATCCTTGACAATCCTAGCCTTAACTTGATTATCCTAGCCTTAACTTGATGATCCTAGCCTTAACTTGACAATCCTAGCCTTAACTTGACAATCCTAGCCTTAACTTGATGATCCTTGACAATCCCAGCCTTAACTTGACAATCCTAGCCTTAACTTGATTATCCTAGCCTTAACTTGACAATCCTAGCCTTAACTTGACAATCCTAGCCTTAACTTGATGATCCTTTCCTTAACTTGATGATCCTAGCCTTAACTTGATGATCCTTGACAATCCTAGCCTTAACTCGACAATCCTAGCCTTAACTCGACAATCCTAGCCTTAACTTGACAATCCTGCCTTAACTTGATGATCCTAGCCTTAACTCGACAATCCTAGCCTTAACTTGACAATCCTAGCCTTAACTCGACAATCCTAGCCTTAACTTGACAATCCTAGCCTTAACTTGACAATCCTAGCCTTAACTTGACAATTCTAGCCTTCACTTGATGATCCAAGCCTTAACATGATGATCCTAGCCTTAACTTGATTATCCTAGCCTTAACTTGACGATCCTAGCCTTAACTTGACGATTGTACACTTAACTTGATGATCCCTGACAATCCCAGCCTTAGCTTGATGATCCTAGCCTTAACTTGACGATCCTAGCCTTAACTTGATGTTCCTAGCCTTAGCTTGATGATCCAAAGCCTTAACTTGACCATCCCAGCCTTAATTTGACGATCCCAGCCTTAACTTGACGATCCTAGCCTTAACTTGATGTTCCTAGCCTTAGCTTGATGATCCTAGCCTTAAATTGACGATCCTAGCCTTAACGTGATGATCCTAACCTTAACTTGATGTTCCTAGCCTTAGCTTGATGATCCTAGCCTTAACTTGTCAATCCTAGACTTAACTTGTCGATCCTAGCCTTAAAATGAAAAGAAATTAACTAATAAATGTATTACTGAGTTCTATGATCCTAACAAAAAAATACAACAGTCATCACAGCAGCATACACAACTGTAACCCTAGCAACACATTCAATTGTTACCACAGCAACATCTATGGTACAGAACTCTTCATCTGTCATCACAGTATTACATATATAGTACAGGGTTCTACAACTGTTGCTATATGAACATAAACTGTTACCATAGCAACAATCAGCTGTTACCATTGCAATACACTGTATATAAACATAAATACATAACATAATTACCAATCAATGAACTTATCAATTATCACCATAGAAACAAAATCCAAATTGCATTGATAAAACTGTTACCATAACAACCACTGAAGACAATCATAAAAAGAGTCATGGCATTAATATTGGCTGAATCACAACATCATCACATGGTTTCACTAACTGTAGAAATGTTTGTCTAATCACAGGCTAAAAGTAGATCCAAACTTTACCAGAAAAACCAGTCTCAGACAGACAGACAGACAGACACACAGACAGACAGACACACAGACAGACAGATTCTAAATGATCCACAACACAATGTTAATATTATACACAAGGCACTGGAATACTGGAATGCACATCATCATCTACAGATCAGACTGAATCCACAACATCATCTACAGATCAGACTGAATCCACAACATCATCTACAGATCAGACTGAATCCACAACCAACAGATCAGACTGAATCCACAACATCATCTACAGATCAGCCTGAATCCACAACACCATCTACAGATCAGACTGAATCCACAACACCATCTACAGATCAGACTGAATCCACAACCAACAGATCAGACTGAATCCACAACACCATCTACAGATCAGACTGAATCCACAACATCATCTACAGATCAGACTGAATCCACAACATCATCTACAGATCAGACTGAATCCACAACCAACAGATCAGACTGAATCCACAACATCATCTACAGATCAGCCTGAATCCACAACACCATCTACAGATCAGACTGAATCCACAACACCATCTACAGATCAGACTGAATCCACAACACCCTCAAAATAGCATCTGTCACCTTAACAGCCCCAATCAAACTCAATTTCAAGAAAACTTGTCATCTTCATATTAAAAGTTCTTGAACTTTTCATTTTCATATCAAAAGTTCCTGAACTTGTCATTTTAATTTCAAAAGTTCCTGAACTTGTCATTTTTATATTAAAAGTTCCTGAACTTGTCATTTTTATAATAAAAGTTCCTGAACTTATCACTTTAATATTTCAAAAAATCATGAACTTGTCATTTTCATATTAAAAGTATATGAAAATGCAATTTTAATATTAAATGAATATGAACTTGTTACTTTTAGATTAAAAGTTTGTGTCACTTTAACGTTACAAATGACTGAACTTTAACCTGATACATAAACGTCTATGTATATTAATGAACCTGTTTCTTTAATATTGAAAATTTGTGAACTGGTAGCTTCAACACACCGTCAGAAATAGACTTCAACGCTATAACTATCTAATCTGTGATCCAAGCCGCTGAGGGTAAGGCAACATTAAGATACCACTTCATACTGTTCAATACCAAAACTACGCCTACCACGGACGTAAAGACTATCTTACCTTGGAGCCTGGTTACAGATACCAGATATAGCATCCACTGGCACACTCTCTATAGTCAGATTTCATCATATTATAAAATGTGAATTCTCAAATCCACATGTAGTTCCCACATGTTTGTTGTAGCTGATAAGACATTTATTGTATATTTATGGATAATTTAGTGCTGATAGTTGTTAGTTGAGAATTGGAGAAATTAACGTATCATTCCCACCAACACTGAATCATCTATTTATGTCTATAATGCTGGAACCATAACTTTAAAATCTGATGAAAAACAAAAATCTTTTCATATACAAGTACATTCTAAAATAAAAAATTTACTTCAGCTATCACAAAATCTTCCATTCTTTTTATCAGTAACCAAAACCTAGCCATATTGTTGTCAGAATATTACTTAAAGATTTGTGAAGATGTACAGCAGTATGTGTTTCAGTTTGTTAAGGATACCAAAGTTTGTGAAACATGAAGGAATCAGATTATATCTACTGCAATTATGATGGTTTTATTTCTCCCCAAGTGTAAATATGGGCTCTATTCAAATCACAATTATTATCCAGAAATCTAATTCACACATAGATTAATAATCAGACTTTCAACAGTGCACATGTACAGGAGGACACAACAAGCAACAAATGCGCGACAAAAATAATTAACACAAGAAAAAGCAATGACAAAAAAGCTACATATAAAACAAAAACACACGAACATGTTTTAGCATGAGATGTAACAGTCATCTCTAATCACAATAAATAAATGCATTGTTCCTGTTGAGAAATGTCACAACCAGTCTTAATGTCCAAAGGCAGCAGAGGCCAGTTATTCACCCAATCATGCTTCAGGTTAATATCACAACAAACATGGTCAACTCCGAAAAAATCAAACACACATCAAACAAAAATCTGGCATGGATTTGTGATTGAGTTCAAAAATATTTATCAAATTCAGTATCTGTATCGATTAAAACTTATGTAGATAAAGACTCTACATATATTTTACAAAGTTTTTGCTACGAAAATGGTTATGTATGTCATGTGTATGTAATGTGATAACTACAGCCTCTCTTTGGTCAACTGCCACAATGAATATTTCAGCCAACCACAGCTTTAGATGTAGACAAAATAATGATATGAATTCTGGGGTTCATCTTCTACTTGCAGGTCAGTTTGGAAATATATCTCTAAAGTAGTGAGGCATATGTTACCCACATGTCCACACAGCAGACAAAAATCTTTAACAACAAACAATCAAACCTCTTCCCAAAAAATATCCCCACTAATTACCTCTATATTATTCAATAAAAATGAAAATGTAAACATTTTTTGAACAATTACACATTTGACATTTCTCTTTTACATAAATGTATGAATATAACTTTGAATACAAGGTATATGCATAACTTCTTATTTCTCAGTTCCCTCCTCCTTAAAAAAACAATTCAAAATTACATAATGACCTTGACCTCTGAAAAAGAAAAAAAAAATGTCCTTGACCTTTCCTGCATGAGGTCAAATGTACTAGTTGTATTAGCATCTGTGATTTCTGCATATAGATATAGTTCTATATATATATATATATGTATGTGCCACAGTTAAAAGTGCTACCACAGCCGTTAGTTTGCAGGTTATAGAAGGTGGTAGAAACGCCGCCGCGCCTTAAGTTTGTGGAACATAGCAGTATAGACTTGTAAGTATATATAGTGCTTCCATTGAGATGCTCCAGTGTTACAACAGTAAGTTTACAAAGAATATATTATTTCTTCCATTTAGAATCTCCAGAGCATGAAAGCTTTGAAAGTTTATATGAAAGCTGAGTATATATATGATGTATATACTGGCAGGTCCAGAAGAGAGAAGAGACAGATCCTATAGCACACAAACACTAACACCCTCACCATGCACAAAACAGCAGGCAAGAGAGTTGTAAGAGGAAGATGTTTGTTTTCTCTGGCAACTAGTGTCAAAGGACGCCAACGCACATCTACTGACGTCGCCGACGTAACCTTTGTTTTTGTCTTTGGCGTTGGCGTTGCCTTTGACGTTGCCTTCGGCGGCGGCGGTTTATGGCGTTATAGCGGAGGTAATATTTGTACCAGGGATTGTCAGGTCTTACCGGTGACCAGGGCGCTATGTACCAACGCCGACGAGTGCTGCATGGTCCGTTGTTACAGAGGCGGCGATTGGGTGGCATGGTGGTCATGTTACAGAGGGTGTTGGATACAGTCCTGTCATCCAGCTGACAAAGGACGCGACGACTCTGTTCTCCATCCTTACCACATGTTACAGAGCACTGAAACACAAACACAAAATTGTTTCGGGTTTACAAAAAGTCTCAGTAGTTCATCTGCTCAACACAAACATTGTAGATATTCTTTTCTTCACTGAGTAATGAATTTGGGATCTGGGATTCAATCTTAACTATATATCATCTCATATTTTCTCTAAAAGTTTATCAATAATTGATAATGACCACGTGACAACTCATTGTTTCTCACCTGTGACCACATGCCCGTATTCCAGGTACCACAAGATTTGGTCTGACAACGTTCAATCTCATCTGGTTTTTGTTCTAAGTCACACTTGTCGCTGGCTCCAAGTTCGTCCTGACAAACCACCTGGCGACGCCTCCATCCAGATCCACAGGTTGAAGAACACTGAAGAAAAAATTCATCCTGTGTAAAGATTATCTATCTTACATGTTTATAAACCTAGGTAGGATTTTTAAAAAATATTACAGGAATTTTTTTCCTTTTGGCAAAGTATACATAAAGAAACAGAAATATTTCCAAATTTATCATATAACTACCTCATTACAACATATGTTGAACATTCCCAACAGAAAATAAATTTTTGTGATATTGAAAATTTTTGAAATTAAGAACAAAAATGCCAGTAGGAAGCACAATCATAAACTAGCTTTAATAATTGACAGCTGGTTATAACTGTTTGTTGACACATTGTTGTGATATTCAATCATGATAATATTCATCCAACTTGGACACAAACTTTGACCACAAACTTCCGCACAGGACAATCAGAATCACACATCCAGGTCATCCTTCCAGGATACCCACACAGGACAATCAGAATCACACATCCGGGTCATCCCTCCAGGATAACCAGCCCTCACTATAATCAGTATTACACACCTGGCTCCATGGCCCTACCCTTCAGGATAACCAGCCCTCACTACAATCAGTATTACACATCTGGCTCCATGGCCCTACCCTCAAGGATAACCAGCCCTCACTACAATCAGTATTACACAACTGGCTCCATGGCCCTACCCTCCAGGATAACCAGCCCTCACTACAATCAGTATTACACACCTGGCTCCATGGCCCTACCCTCCAGGATAACCAGCCCTCACTACAATCAGTATTACACACCTGGCTCCATGGCCCTACCCTCCAGGATAACCAGCCCTCACTATAATCAGTATTACACACCTGGCTCCATGGCCCTACCCTTCAGGATAACCAGCCCTCACTATAATCAGTATTACACACCTGGCTCCATGGCCCTACCCTCCAGGATAACCAGCCCTCACTACAATCAGTATTACACACCTGGCTCCATGGTCCTACCCTCCATTGTGTGGTTCCCTCTACATTATTGGATGTGATAACCACTGTTTCATAAGAATCTTCACTGACGGTTGGACAGTCGCCTCCATTACACACACGACTGGTCTCGGGGCGAAGATTGCGATCACACTGATCTTCATCTATAGGACGTCGGTTGACATGGTAACAAACAACCTGGCGTGTGGTTACACCCTCTCCACACGAAGCACTGCACTGTTGGTCAAATATTACCCAATAAAAAGTTAGATATGAAACAGAACTCTTTTGTTTTATTTCTTTTTCAAGACAAGTAATCAGTATATCTACAATTTATATATAATCACACTAATAAAGCAGCATGCCCATGTTTGGTGGTAAACACATGGACATGTATAGGCTGTAAATATGTACATATATATATATAATCACACTAATAAAGCAGCATGCCCCTGTTTGGTGGTGAACGCATGGACATGTATAGGCTGTAAATATGTACATATATATATATAATCACACTAATAAAGCACCATGCCCATGTTTGGTGGTAAACACATGGACATGTATATGCTGTAAATATGTATATATGCATGATCAATAAAGTAATAACGACAGTATGGACAAGTGAATTGTCAAATTTTCCAGGCAACCTACCCCTTTATCAAGACACAAATATTACATAAACTACACCACAGACATGTAACATAAAACAAATACAAAGTTATAAAGTGGTGTAAATTAAGTTGTTTCGATATTCCCTTAAGCAAATGGACACCAAAGGCCCTTTTTAAGGGACAAAAAACTTAAGTTGTTGTATGGAAGATGATGATTAAAATATCAAAAATATTTTACATCAATCTTGGTTTATATACGTAATATTGTTCTATAGTAAGTCCCTGAGTATGACTTCGGACATAATTATCTAGCACCGCGTTTCATTGTAGGATATATACAAAAGGATTACACCATTATTTATCAGTACGGAGAGAATGTTATTCATACTCCTATAAATCATGACTGAATTACCTCTCCCCAGTTTCCAGATCGCCATATTCCACATGCAGCTCTGATGCACGGTTCACGAGAGGAAGGTTTTTCTTGGTGTCTACAGAGAGCACCACTTTGAATGTGTCCGAATTTATCCTCACATCTGATGTAGCGAAACCTTGTTCCCTGTCCACAAGTAGCTGAACACTGTAACAATTCCGACAAAAGATTTCACAATTTTATTGTATTCTGTCTTTCAAGCAATACTGGAAACTCTGAAAGAAGGGAGATAACTCCTACTGTTTTGATTAAAAGTTTTGTAATTTTTTTTAGGAAAACTATAATTACACACAATTATTAATTGACTAATTCGCTGTATTTAACAACAAGCATCAAACCTACCCAGGTCCAGTCGCCAATCTTCCAGGAGGTGTCCAGTCTGACAGCAGTCCTTCGAGATGCCCTGGTGGTAGTTGGTCGTGCTGTAGTGGTTACTGGGAAAGGGGTTGTGGTAGATGTTGAGGAAGTCACCGGTGATGTTGTCGTAGAGGTAGTTGGTCTTGTCGTAGTTTGTGTCATCAGTTGAGTAGTAGTTGTAGTAGTTGAGGTAGTGGTAGTGATGGTAGTGGTGGTGGTAGGTGTAGTAGTGGTAGTTGTTGTAGTGGTCGTAGTAGTTGGACAAGCCCTGACATAACACTTTCGTGTATCATAAGGCTTGGAGGAAGGGTCGCATAATTCCTGAGGCAGTATCTCCCCGTGATAATGACGGCAGTCGATGCGGCGCTTTGAAACTCCATGTCCACATGTTACAGAACACTGAAAAATTTTAACCAATTAATGCATCATCTGTTATCAAAATTTTCATGGACTGAATCATCATGTCTGGTATATGAATTATAAACATACTTTAAAATGTGTTTATATAGAAGTTAATGATATATTGATTTTTATCAAAGTATTTCTCATTATAAAGTTAGTGTGTCATAGTGGCGTTCCATCAATGTCAGAACATAACTGTTAGGCTATTCCACCTAGATATTTAATCAACAAAAAAAATCTACTGATACTGTGAAAACTAAGTCTATGTAAGTATGAAGTAACCTATATATATATGTATATTGTGATGTGCAGTTAACATAGTTCTATAGATATTTTATAAATCTGAGACATTCTGTAGACATTCCAGTCTACTCCGATATCTAGGCATCTCCAGACAAGGTAATGGCCATAACATTGTCGCGGGTGGCTGGCTTGGTTTGTGGACTGTGAAACGTGTTTGTATCCGGATCACTTATCATTATAGCTCAATATCGACAAATCTTTAACTGTGATAAATATCATTAGTCAACACCAATGGTAATATACAATGAAGGTAGGAGATTTTATCTGGCATGCACATTGTCTGTATACTTTCTGTCCTTAACAACGGCACAGGAATGTGTGAAATAGGACACGTGTAAACACCATTTGATGGATTTATTGAGAGTTTGATCACTCGATCACTTGTGGCTGTGACCAAGTGGTATTTCTGTGCACAATCTCATCAATTTATCAAACTCTCATTGACTTACAACCAATAAACAGTCATTATCAAATTGTGTAAAATGTCAGAGCGACATATGAATCAAATATGGGAAAGTCATGGATATTTAGGTAGAATTTTAGATACCAGTTGAGAGTGTGTCTCCCTCCATTACCTCAGATAAACCCTCTGTACTATAAGGATCTAACTACTCAAAATGTTTAAAATCATATCCTTCACTTTGAAAGATGAGAGATTTACCGTGACTTTTTAACAGAATTGGCCAAATACTTGATCATCACAATTGTTGAACAGTTTCCTGGCCCCTATTTGTGGGACCCTTTCTTTCCCTATTTGTGGGACCCTTTCCTCCCATATTTTTGGGACCATCTTCTCCCATATTGGTAGGATCTGTTTTTCCTCTAAAATGCCTGTATCAATTTAGCAATATACATTCTATAATTATGACTGAAATGAAATACAATTGATATATTTATATCAATGAAAAATTACCTTCAATTTTTAAAACAAAGAAAATATGAACTTACGTCTCCCCATCTCCTCTCCCTCCACTCAGGACAACGTTGACGGTTACAAAGTTCACTGCTTACTGGTTTACGCTCATTCTGACAATACATGTCGTCCACCTTCCTGTCACCATGGAAACAGTAAACTTTGCGATGTCTGGTTCCTGAGCCACATGTATGAGAACACTGCAAAATATGAAGATAAAAATGTAAAGAAGGAGTGAAGTAGGAGCAAAATATTCAGCAACAAAAAAAATCAACCTACATGTCATCTAACGACCAACACTTTCTCTCCTACAACTTATCATCTGACAACCTACATGTCATCTAACGACCAACACTTTCTCTCCTACAGCTTATCATCTGACAACCTACATGTCATCTAACGACCAAAACTTTCTCTCCTACAACTTATCATCTGACAACCTACATGTCATCTAATGACCAACACTTTCTCTCCTACATCTTATCATCTGACAAACTACACCTGTATCTTTACAACCTATCAATCCTTTGACAACTTAACTATCATTTGACTACTTACACCTGCATTCCTGCAGTTTATCAACCTTTGACAACCTACCAGTCATCTAAAGACCTACAACAGCTCTTAAACAGCCTACATCTACTCCCCTACAACCTACCAATCACTCAAACCTACCCCTGTCCATAAAAAGGTTCGCCAGTCTGGACACGGATCGTCATTACAAGACCGTGTGATGATGCGTTCCTCAGAGTGACACTCTGTCTCTGGTAGCTCGTTTCGACTGATGTCTGTACAGGTTGCACGCCGTTGTTGTACGCCTCCATCACATGTTTGTGTACACTGTAGGTAATGGGAGGTATATACAGAAAAAATTCAACTTTCATTTGATCAAGATATCAAAGATAAATTACTTTTTCTGGATATCAAAAGCTTAATTCTGTCATCAAATTTTTTTTTTTTTTGCAAATGTTATCAACATTCATCTGAAAATCAGTACAAGTAAACAAAAACATCTTTCTTTTCTTTGAAGACCTAGCCACGAAATCAAGTGCCAACAAAAGAGCATATTTCTGAAAACCATGAAAATTGAGCTTCACTGAAATATATGATAATACAGTAACTGTTATGTTATATCAGATTTAATGTTGAAGAAATTCTAAAAAATATCAATACCTCTGACCAGCTAGCATACTGCCAGTGTGTGGGGAGACACTTCCCTGTACAGGATACCACGTCCCCAGGCCGTGGCCCTAAGTGGTCACATTCCTGGTCAGGTAGGTCTTCTTCTACACCTAAGATGTTCCTCTTGACACAGGCCACATGCTGGACAGCCACACCCTCCCCACAACGTGTAGAACACTCCTCTTCCTCAATACGCCATCTACAATGGTCAAGCAGTGAATATTGTTAGGATCTTTTTACAGTGGTCAAACAGTGAGTAGAGGGTATTTTTTACAGTGGTGAAGCATTTAGTACAAGGACCTGATTATTGCGGTCTGACAATGAGTATGGAGGTCTGATCTGGACATGGTATATAAAGCTAGCCAACATTATGACAGAAATGTTCCTTTAGCTACAAAGAATAATCCGTTACCATAGAGATGTCTTACCTGAGGTTACAATTCATGTTGCAGACTTGTTTTAGCTTGGAAGGTTTGGGGATGCGAAGTCGTTCACACTTACGGTCAGACACGATGGTACGATCACGATCGTCACTCACACAAACCACCTCACGGGTCTGCTCTCCTGTTACACAAACATCAACATTTCAATATCAGTGAGAAACGATGACCTAGTCGTTGTCCTACCATGACAACCTTCTCCGCAATATGTGAAAACCTAATATGTCCAACCAACTGTGTTTAGCCTGTGATATCCCAGAGAACCAACACATCTTTACAGGACTACAAGCTTAAACCCAAGCCATGGCTTATTGTCTGATAAATATGTTAAACAACATCTGTATCCTGTAAATCACATAGATTTCATAAATTCTTCAATTTGTAAACTTACGTCTTCTGACATAAATACATAATTTCACAAATGCTGATCTAGAAATGACTTCAAATTTTGCAAACAATGAGCTGGACCTGGACTCAGTTAGACTCAATATCAGTAACAGAATCAACCTGAATACCATCCCGAGATATCGTTGTACATGAAAGATTTGAACTGGCAATTGATTGTCCCCATGAAAAATAAATCACACACAATGTGATTTACAGAAGTCAGCTAGTTACAGTTAGTTAACCCGAACTTCCCCACAAAAATTAATCATTCTACAGTATTAACCCTAACCCTAACTTCCCAACAAAAATTAATCATTCTACAGTATTAACCCTAACCCTAACTTCCCCACAAAAATGAATCATTCTACAGTATTAACCCTGACCCTAACTTCCCCACAAAAATGAATCATTCTACAGTATTAACCCTAACCCTAACTTCCCCACAAAAATGAATCATTCTTCAGTATTAACCCTAACCCTAACTTCCCCACAAAAATTAATCATTCTACAGTATTAACCCTAACCCTAACTTCCCCACAAAAATGAATCATTCTTCAGTATTAACCCTAACCCTAACTTCCCCACAAAAATGAATCATTCTACAGTATTAACCCTAACCCTAACTTCCCCACAAAAATGAATCATTCTACAGTATTAACCCTAACCCTAACTTCCCCACAAAAATGAATCATTCTACAGTATTAACCCTAACCCTAACTTCCCCACAAAAATGAATCATTCTACAGTATTAACCCTAACCCTAACTTCCCCACAAAAATTAATCATTCTACAGTATTAACCCTAACCCTAACTTCCCCACAAAAATGAATCATTCTACAGTATTAACCCTAACCCTAACTTCCCCACAAAAATGAATCATTCTACAGTATTAACCCTAACCCTAACTTCCCCACAAAAATGAATCATTCTACAGTATTAACCCTAACCCTAACTTCCCCACAAAAATGAATCATTCTACAGTATTAACCCTAACCCTAACTTCCCCACAAAAATGAATCATTCTACAGTATTAACCCTAACCCTAACTTCCCCACAAAAATGAATCATTCTACAGTATTAACCCTAACCCTAACTTCCCCACAAAAATGAATCATTCTACAGTATTAACCCTAACCCTAACTTCCCCACAAAAATGAATCATTCTACAGTATTAACCCTAACCCTAACTTCCCCACAAAAATGAATCATTCTACAGTATTAACCCTAACCCTAACTTCCCCACAAAAATGAATCATTCTACAGTATTAACCCTAACCCTAACTTCCCCACAAAAATGAATCATTCTACAGTATTAACCCTAACCCTAACTTCCCCACAAAAATGAATCATTCTACAGTATTAACCCTAACCCTAACTTCCCCACAAAAATGAATCATTCTACAGTATTAACCCTAACCCTAACTTCCCCACAAAAATGAATCATTCTACAGTATTAACCCTAACCCTAACTTCCCCACAAAAATGAATCATTCTACAGTATTAACCCTAACCCTAACTTCCCCACAAAAATGAATCATTCTACAGTATTAACCCTGAAAGATTTGTCTCTATTTTCCCTGAGGCACATTTTTCTTACCTTTACACAATCTACTACACTCAGACCAAACTCCATGGTTTTGGCTCCACACAAAGTGGGTTTCTATGGAAACCATATATGAGTACTCTAAGTTGGGTGGGTAGTGCTTTCCAACAGACAGAACCTGTAGAGGTCATAAAGGTCAAAGGTTACATGGTGAAAAAGTCATTCAAAAGTAAAAAAAAGTGCCATTATGGTATAAATATATATATATATATATATATGATTATACATGTTGGAGCTCTGAACATTGTATATAGTTCTGAGATCATTCCTCTCTTAATCTGCAAACATAAATTTGTCAAACAGTTAGACATGATCAAAGTTCCTTACATCATAAAGACAAAGAAATGTAAATGAAGGTTGAGTATTCTGACAGATTGAATTCCTCCATCACAAGTCTTCTGAAGCTGTCTTTGACATTCCCAATATATCTATATGACGTGTCTTTGACAGATTCAATCAAATAAAAAAACTTTGTTGTGTATAAATATGATGATACATGTGACCAGAAGTCAACACTATTTGCTGTCAATCAAACACAGATAGTGCCACCTGGTGGCAACCTCTGACCTTTCCTTGTGAACAGAAGTCACATAAATTATGAACAAAATATCTATAAACATGTCAGGTGAAATCTACAGCATACAGGGCTGTCATTGAATTTACACTAAGTAACCATGGTTACTCTAATTATCTGGATTATAACTTTCTTCCCTTAATGTTTTGTGGTGACATCAACATTGGAAATAAAAAAATTTAATATTGATTTCAATTTTGATGAGTGTTAAGTGTCCTATACAGTAAGCTAACAATGCTACTAAAACATCAATCCTGCCTTTGATGATGTTGTTAATAACAGCTGATAATTTCTAGTGTAGGTATTGACATTCAACTTATATCATCAAAATTAAAAAAAAATAGTTCATCCTTATCAATACCAATATCAGGTATAAGTCAGATAAAGCTATGGAAAACATTAAACATTCTAACACAATACAAATTTTACAGGTAGATAAATAGACTACTAAAGCTTAGTCACTGATACAACATCCAATCAAACGTGACTAATTAGTGATAACAATATTAACCATGAATGTCATATTCCTACCATTTTCCCTACATATTCAACTAAGTTATCTAATAAGAAATGTTTCACTGACCATCAGTGTGATGTTTTCCCCTATTGGACCGGTGGAGTTGATCCGTTCTGTAATGGTGTCTGACCCACTGTAATCAATACTGGCACTCTTCACTTTGATCTTTCTACGAGCTGTATTCACCACAAAGTCACCATTTAAGATAAAGTGACCAGTGGAGTTCCGAAGAGCTGTGTAAAAAAAATGATTTTTGTATCATTGTGGGGTAGTAAGCCTTCTCCTTTTTATATACACCGTCTATAAGAGTTGTCTCCCCTGAACCTAATGTCATTACTAGAGATTTGCTCCCTAAAACACTTTTAGGACAGTGTACTTTAATGTTACAATTCTAATAATTCAATTAAGGATATGGCGGATGACGGTAATATTATGCGTAAATTGTAAGCCAGGCGACACACAATTGTATTCTGTTTACCTAGGTAGTTTCCATCCTCTTTTAGGTTCATAAAGCCACGCTGTTGAATCATAAGGTTCTTGGCTCCAGAGGGTATCTCTGCCACAAAGTTGTAACCTGGAACACAGTGGTACAGGCAGTGAGAGAACCTGATTATTAGTGGGGAGTTTCCACGACAACTAACAGCGTAATAAAGTGGTCCTGACTGGGTCAAATGTCTGCCATCAATGTCACCACCACAATTACATTATAATCAGACCAGGGTAACTGTCACAGCCTTCAGAATGATGGGGCAAATGACCACCCGATGCTGCTATTAATTACTGTAATTAGTGAGAGTAATTCCAGGTCTCTACTTAAGTCAGCCCAAATATTTTTGTCTTTTTACCACAACATAGCAGACAAATACGGTAAAATGTGGCAAATTTCAACATAAATTCTATAAGTCTGATTTGATTTAAAGAAAAATTTAACCCACCATAATCGGGGATACGCTTGAACTGATTCACGATTTCCTCCATAAAACAGGAAGTGTTGTCTCCTCCACAAATCCCACATCTGTCCAACTTGAGTCGTGACCCCAGACGATTGTCACAGCCAGCACTCTGTAACCATGACAATGGTCAAACACTCATAAGTTGATAAGCATTTGTCAATATCCATAGGGTTATGTTGTATATACTAGCAATTCTTTTTAAATTCAATATCTTATGTTTTAAAAGGATTTGAAAATAAAAATGAAGTTAAAATCCTACAGAACACCTCATGCAGAATGTTAAATAATTGTGTCTTCTTTTGTTCATTTTTAAATACAAAATAATTATTATTGCGACTATGATTTTGTCTGTATTTGTTCAGCAACAAAAAGAGTAAGTTGAATTCTCAAAGTATTGATTAAGAATGACTGATGGTAAAGCCTGATTACATGTCCATAAGAGTGAGTTGGAGTGACACTGGTGTGTCTCAGTTCATCTGATCGTATTGATTTCATGTCAGAGGTTCAAGGACAAAAGCATTGAATCTGTTTGCCCTTTTGATTAGTATGACCTCAATCTCATTTTATCACTGAGAACAGTCAATGCTGAAATAGCCTTCTTCAGAAACCATATCGCTACAAAATGACAACCAGCACCAGGCCAGTGATTCGTATACATTGTAATGTTTTTTCCACAGGAATGAGCGCTGGGACTCACTTTTTCATTTCTTTGTTACTTTCCCACTCATGTTTTCCTTGTTTTATCTACTTCTCCTCAAACTTTCAGAAAATCAGCATTTTGATAAAAATTTCCATGATTGCTTGAGTGATCAATGTGAAAATCTGTTGACAGATTATGTGAGCCAATGAGCTGTTGTGCGAGTCATTTTCTGAGTCAATGAGCAATTTCTAAGAGGCGAGCAATGTTCTGAGTCAGCTAGTCAATGAATCTGTTGAGCATCTTCTGAAGTTGTGCGAGTCAGAAAACATCCTTCAACCATTGTTTGAGTTACCAGTTCTCTTTTGAGTCAGTGAACCATTGTCTGAGTTACCAAATCTATTTTGAGTCAGCGAACCATTGTCTGAGTTGATGAGCCAATGTCTAAGTCAGTGGTTGTTTTTCCCCAAATTAGTCATCAGTTATCTGAGGCATTAAGCTAACTTCTGACTTGTTGGTGAATAAGCCTTTGTACATTGTACGCTAACCTGATACTGTAGTGTTTTTCTGTTTTATGTGTTTTTAGCAATATCTACTGCTAAACAGATGTTTACCTTACACTTTCCATTGACACAGATGTCATATGTTTTTGGTCCACACTTGGTGCCATCTAAAACCTTGTCTGACAGCAGATAATAAGCACTGCTCCCTGATGGTCTGCAGTACAGCTTACAGGCATCCTTCAGACGAACTGCCATGGAAACATACACAGATGCAATAAAATGGAAACAAAAAATTATATCATCTTGACTATAACTACACTGTATCATAGTGTTTGTGAATATAAAGCTGCCAATGTTCAGAGGAGAGCTTATCTTTATATCAAATAACTTTTTCCAAAAAATCACAGAAAAAAAATTGATTAATGAGACAGAAGTAAACACTTCTTCCTTCACTTACTTCCAGCATATTTGGGTACCCAGCGGACATTGGAAGGAAGGCCACGATGTTTGTGAGTATTATCAAATCTGGAGCACTGAATTTCCCTGAAGTCTGGAGTGTCTTGTTCACATGGCTGCAACACAGGAGGATGAAAATGTAGTAGGCATAAAGGACAGCAGTATCTCCTATCAGATCTTACCTTGGTATTACATGACCTATGACCTCTTGCAGATCTTACCTTGGTATTACATGACCTATGACCTCTTGCAGATCTTACCTTAGTATTACATGACCTCTAACAGATCTTACCTTGGTATTACATGACCTCTAACAGATCTTACCTTGGTATTACATGACCTCTAACAGATCTTTCCTTGGTATTACATGATATCTAACAGATCTTACCTTGGTATTACATGACCTCTAACAGATCTTACCTTGGTATTACATGATATCTAACAGATCTTACCTTGTTATTACATGACCTCTAACAGATCTTACCTTGGTATTACATGATATCTAACAGATCTTACCTTGGTATTACATGATATCTAACAGATCTTACCTTGGTATTACATGACCTCTATCAGATCTTACATTGGTATTACATGACCTCTAACAGATCTTACCTTGGTATTACATGACCTATGACCTCTAACAGATCTTATCTTGGTATTACATGATATCTAACAGATCTTACCTTGGTATTAAATGACCTCTAACAGATCTTACCTTGGTATTACATGACCTGTAACGGACCCTCCTTCCTGTGCAGTATTTGCCTCCATGGGCTGGGCTGTGGAGAGATAAAATACCCTGTGCCATTATTAAGTTTTATGTTAACTACTTTAGTTCATAAGTCTAATCAAGATGTTCCTTTCTACTACTAGTAATCAATTGTGACCATGATACAAATACTATGACTTATTGAACTGGGATGAATCAGTGATTGTGACCTACTTAAACAATTATATATAACAGTGAAAGACTGAAACTGCAAAACAAAGGTGACCTATTTACACCAAAATATAACAGTGACCTATTTACACCAAAATACATCAGTGACCTATTTACACAGAAATATAACATTGATCTATTTACTCTGAAACACAACAGTGACCTATTTACACTGAAACACAACTGTGACCTGTTTATACTGTAAAGCAACAGTGACTCACTTACACTAAGACAACAGTGACCTACTTTGAGATGTAAGTGACTTACACTGGGTTGTTACACTGACGAATTCCTTTCTTAACACCACCTGCACAAGTTCTGGAGCATTCTCCATAATCTTCCCAGCGTCCCCAGCCTCCATTGATTGTCACTAGAGGGCGCTCTGCTCGACACACACCGTGTCTACACCACTGAAACACAAGATTAATTTGTGTTCGTGTTGTTGTCATCAAATACAATCATTTTCATACATAAACGTGACTATTTTCAGAATAAGAAATGATGATTTGCCAGTGGCAGGAATATTTCTGACTGAAAGTCTTTGTAAGGTTACTACAACACAACGAGTTGCTACACAGATATCTGTGAAAACATCCTTTTTGTTCAAAGCTTTTGTTAAGACCACGAAAATTTGAACCACTGAAAAATCCAACCTTACATAATTCTGTAGCTACATAGAGAAGATAAGACCTGAAGAAGAGGATTCCAAAGGGGAGGATATAGCTTAAAGAAATAAAAGACAGCATGATGATTTACGGCGACAGAGAGATGTCATCTCTCCTGTAAACCCTTGACCCTGATATTGGTATTCCTTATTAAAACAATGCAAATCTCGGTAAATCATCAACAGTATTAAGTGATATGGGGGTGAGAAGACAAACAGATAGAGACCTTCCACAACAATAGTTGCTTAAGTACAGTTGATAACATGGATAAGATAGGCACCAACAATGTCTGGTATTTACACCTCGGACGACAAGTCCTGTTATTGACCACAAATTCTACGAGTAGATGACCACAGGTCTTACCGACCACACCAATAGTCTAATTCTAACAACCCAACAAGTGACCGAAAGCTGTATTGAATATACTATTGGCTAAAGTCTAAATGACACTATCATTGATACGGTGAACCAGGAAATATGAAATTGTTCAGCTTAAAATTTCCACCTTTCCCTTTTAAGTGACCACAACATTGATGATAATTCTCTATCAAATTTCCCCGCTGAATACTAATAAATCCAACATAAATCGGGAAAATATTCCCACCAGAGAAAACAACTGTTTTACTCCATATTTCACCTGCAACCTGTTTTTTATAACAATATTTCACCTGTAACCTGTTTTTTATTATATTTCACCTGCAGCCTGTTTTTTATTACAATATTTCACCTGCAGCCTGTTTTTTATAACGATATTTCACCTGCAGCCTGTTTTTTATTATATTTCACCTGCAGCCTGTTTTTTATTACGATATTTCACCTTTAGCCTGTTTTTTATTATATTTCACCTACAGCCTGTTTTTTATTATATTTCACCTGCAGCCTGTTTTTTATTACGATATTTCACCTTTAGCCTGTTTTTTATTATATTTCACCTACAGCCTGTTTTTTATTATATTTCACCTGCAGCCTGTTTTTTATTATGATATTTCACCTGCAGCCTGTTTTTTATTACAATATTTCACCTGCAGCCTGTTTTTTATAACAATATTTCACCTGCAGCCTGTTTTTTATTATGATATTTCACCTGCAGCCTGTTTTTTATTACGATATTTCACCTGCAGCCTGTTTTTCATTACAATATTTCACCTGCAGCCTGTTTTTTATTACAATATTCACCTGCAGCCTGTTTTTTATAACGATATTTCACCTGCAGCCTGTTTTTTAAAACGATATTTCACCTGCAGCCTGTTTTTTATTACATTATTTCACCTGCAGCCTGTTTTTTATTACGATATTCACCGTTAGCCTGTTTTTTATTATATTTCACCTGCAGCCTGTTTTTTATAACGATATTTCACCTGCAGCCTGTTTTTTTTATTATATTTCACCTGCAGCCTGTTTTTTATTATATTTCACCTGCAGCTTGTTTTTTATTACGATATTTCACCTGCAGCCTGTTTTTTATTACGATATTTCACCTGCAGCCTGTTTTTTATAACAATATTTCACCTGCAGCTGGTTTTTTATTATATTTCACCTGCAGCCTGTTTTTTATTATATTTCACCTGCAGCCTATTTTTTATAACGATATTTCACCTGCAGCCTGTTTTTTTATTATATTTCACCTGCAGCCTGTTTTTTATTATATTTCACCTGCAGCCTGTTTTTTATTATATTTCACCTGCAGCCTGTTTTTTATAACGATATTTCACCTTTAGCCTGTTTTTTATTACGACATTTCACCTTTAGCCTGTTTTTTATTACGACATTTCACCTTTAGCCTGTTTTTTATTACGATATTTCACCTGCAGCTGGTTTTTTGCTAACAGTTCCGCTGCTTGCCATTTGATTGTGAAGTACGGTGAATGAAAGTGAAGCGTACATGTTGAGGAGAGGAATGCGGTGGGGGTGGTCAGTGATATCAGTAGAAATGTCAGGTTATAATAGATAGTAGTGTTACACATGTTAACACCAGAAGATCTGTATACACACCACTGATACCTTAACAGATAAAACTTCTGTAATCTGTTCCACATACCTGTCACCTGTTACTCCACACATTCCAGGTGGGCAAAAAAATCATTGTATTTCGATTATAATTAAAACGCGTTAAATTTTCTTTCCCTCTTGAAGATCATGATTTGACTATAAAACAAGAGAAGCTGTCAATATCACCACTCCATGCCATATCAATACACAGCCCATTAATCTATCATAAGTCAATTACAATAACGAATTCCACCTACAACCGATCATGTACACCTTTTCCTGTCACCTGTCAAGTCATCAAGTCCTTACAGTCACATCCTCTGTCAACATTTCCGATACACATGCTCATCACTCTTTTAGTGTGTCTTGTACAAATGTATCTATAATGAATACATATTAAGTATGTTGCTTGCCCCACTTTCACCACTATCAATGTAAAAATCCTCACATCATCACAGACTTATTGTTGACCTCATTCTCGATACTGACCCTTCTTTTAATTTGCATTCGCTATAAATATAAAATTATCTGTAATTTTGTGTTTTACTCTAAATATGGATCAATCTCTAGTTTCTTTTGCTCAAAAAACCCTCCCTTCTCTGTTTTTTGTTCTATTTTAAATGCCTTGCTCTAGCTAAATATGGAACTCTTCTTGACTCTGTGTTTTAATTTGCAGTGATAGTTCAATGAGCAAAGATTTCCCCCTTTGCTGTGACTACTGAACCCTCTCCCTGTCTCCTTGCTTTTAACACAGACCCTTCCTCCAACTTACTTTGAATACAGAACCCTCCCTCACACTGTTCTGTACACCTTTCCCTGTCACCTGTTTTAACACAGACATTCCTCCAAGTCCTTACAGTTTTTGCACATCCTCTGTCAACATTTCCGATACACATGCTCATCACTCTTTTAGTGTGTCTTGCTAACACAGATGTTCTATTATGAATACATATTCACACTGTTTTTGCTGTGACCCACTTTCCCACTCCTTGCTTTTAACACAGACCCTTCCTCCAACTTACTTTGATACAGACTTACACTGTTTTTGCTGTGACTACTGAACTCTCCCTGTCTCCTTGCTTTTAACACAGCATTCCTATAAATATAAAATTACACTGTTTTTTTGTGTTCCCTTCTCCTTGCTTTTAACACAGACCCTTCCTCCAACTTACTTTGAACAAACCCTCCCTTCTCTGTTTTTGCTGTGACTCTATTCCCTGAACACAGCCTTGTTCCAGCTAAATACAGAACCCTCCCTCACACTGTTTTTGCTGTGTGTTTTAACTTCCCTGCTCCTGCTTTTAACACAGTTCCTCTAACTAACTTTGCAAAGATTTCTCACACTGTTTTTGCTGTGACTACTGAACTCTCCCTGTCTCCTTGCTTTTAACACAGACCCTTCCTCCAACTTACTTTGAATACAGAACCCTCCCTCACACTGTTTTTGCTGTGACTACTGAACTCTCCCTGTCTCCTTGCTTTTAACACAGACCCTTCCTCCAACTTACTTTGAATACAGAACCCTCCCTCACTTTGCATTATGTCTACAAATATAAAATCATCCCTATAACCTTGCTACTATTATCATAACAGAATCCTTTTTTACATTGCATTTTCTTTGACTACAGACCCCTTCCTCACAATATTTTCACTTGAAATGGCCACTTCCCTCACCTTATTGATCCCACAGGAAGTGCCGTCTGCCCAGGGCATATGTAGGGTACGACATCCCTTCCTCTTGTTCCTCCCATCTGTGCACCACAATCTCTTGCATTCCGTTTCAAGCTGCATGAAAAGATATCTAGAACTACAAGGTGAACAATGACAATTTTCATCCCTTTTGTTTTGGAATAAGACACTTTATCAACCATAGACTTGACCATTCTTTTTTAAGCCGTAAATTGTTAATTTGACTAATATATACTTGTACTGTATAGACATCCATTTTCTAAATAAAGTTGAACTTTGTTATTTTCAAAGTCAGCAGGATGTTGGAAAACTTTGATCCATCAGAGATGAAATACTTTGAATTAAACTAGCTATTTATAAAAGTTTGAGATAACGAGATTCAACCGTACTTTACCTGGGATATGCATCATACCTTATCATACGGACATTTTTTGTAGCCACGGCCAAACATAAGTTCACACTGTGTGTTGATATCATACATCTGACCTGGAGCGATGGCCTGGACCCGTGAAAAAGGGAAGCGACTCCGCCTGCGAGGTCTGTCCAGCAGACATTCGGCGGAACCTGCACTGCACGATCAAAAGGGTATGTCGTCAGGCAACTATGTAGATTTACATATTTAATGTAAACAAAGCTCAGATATTATTTATCATAAATCGTACAATGTCAAAAAACTATCTCTTCTGTCTGTCATTACTGCCAACTGAAGTTATCTTTACCTCTGACACTGATCTATCAATCTTAAACGTAACATCACAACTGAAAATTCATACTGCACAAATATTGATAAATACTTTTATGCCTAGGTGATGTCAATTTCTTTTCTGTTTTTTTCTTTATCACTTTGGTGTAAATGATGATGTTTTGGTACTGTGATGTGTAAGTAATGCTTTTAATTTGATGCTTTACTGATATTGAGATCATTTCTCAATGTTTGTATGACATTGTGGTGGTACTTACTCAATGAAGCGTGTAAGGTACTTACTCAATGAAGCGTGTAAGGTACTTACTCAATGAAGCGTGTAAGGTACTTACTCAATGAAGCGGGTAAGAAGGGCAGCACTACACCTTGACCACGACCATGCACTGGTGTTGTGGTCGAGGGTGGGGGACATCACATGATCTGTTTTGTCCTTCAGGTAGTCTTTGCATTTTGAGTTATCATCATGAGGTAAATTGAATCTGTAAGAGATAAGCAATCATATTTTCCTTCATAAGCCTCACAGCTGCATATATTGAGGAGTAATCTTTATTTGAAAAAATAAAACACAAAAATATTTTCAAAAACTATAAAAAAAATATATTTATATATTTACTAACTTTCTCCTTGCTTGCTTCTTTTTTTTCAAACTTTTGAAGTGGATGATGTTATTTTAAACCCAAACTACAATCCAATCAGCAATATGTATAGAACACATTTCATTCTTTGAAAATAATAATGAGCGAATCCAGTTTTTTGTCATCATAAAAGAGAAATATTTAAAATAAATGAGATTATTTGTGACAATACATGAATGATCATAAAAGAGAAATATTTAAAATAAATGAGATTATTTGTGACATTACATGTATGATATTAAAGTACAGGTCATACCCTCCATGTTACTGCTAATCTGTTTCAATCTGACGCACTTTCGACAAAACCAGTTGTGAAGGACAGAAAAACTAAATAATATTGACTTTTAAATCATTTAAAAGGTCACTTAAATAGGAAATATTAGTATATATTGTGTTTTAATTGAGACTTAATCCATCTTTAAATGTTTCATTCTATTAAATCTCCTTTTGTAATTTAATATGAAATATTTTTCATTGCTGATGGCATTCACGGAGCTCTTTAGACGTATTGTGTTGGTCCGTGTTGTAAATCGAGGAGAAGATGGAATACGGGTAGCATAATGGGTGGTATTAAAAAACAGTTGAGGGAGGGTCCTGGAGGGCGGGGCGTTGTAGCACTGTGTGCCAACTCGACCCCCTGGGGAAGTCAACATCCACCTGTTTAGGTAAACGGCCCCAGACAATGGGGAAAGCCTTGTATTTACAAGTAGAAGGTAAATATCAAGGTGTTGGACAATGGTCTAAAGGTGTTGGGAATATGTCCCCGGGTGAACTAGGCAGTGATGACAATAACGTCATTATATATCACTAATTCAATTAGCCAAAAGCACATTCCAGCACATCATTCTCTAAATTCTTGTTAGGTTACAAAATCTACCAAACACTGTAACTCTTGAAGCCTTTTCCTTATTCTATTTGCCAATAGCCTACAAAATTCTTGAAGAATTTCAACATTTCTTAAACAAACAAACAATCAATATTTCTGTGGACAGAGTATGATGCTAATCAGACATACTAAGAACAGTACCTACCCTCAGTAAGTAGACAGAGTGGAGGTCTGGAGATAAGAAATTCTTCTGACTGAGGTTTGTGTTAACACAATGAATCACTGACTCACCTCCTAAGGTGACAGGATTACCACTAAATGGACCGTAATCTCCACCTGGTCAACACCCCTACTGACCCAAAGATGGTCAAACTTATAACCACTTATATGCTAACAGTGTTCCATTGGAAACCTTCCCTAAGACCTTTACAAATTCCCTCCTGAACCCTGATCCCATCCTCATCTCTGTCTATAGAGTACTGAGAGAATTCCTCCAGAACCCTGATCCCATCCTCATCTCTGTCTATAGAGTACTGAGAGAATTCCTCCAGAACCCTGATCCCATCCTCATCTCTGTCTATAGAGTACTGAGAGAATTCCTCCAGAACCCTGATCCCATCATCTTCTCTGTCTATAGAGTACTGAGAGAATTCCTCCAGAACCCTGATCCCATCCTCTTCTCTGTCTATAGAGTACTGAGAGAATTCCTCCAGAACCCTGATCCCATCATCTTCTCTGTCTATAGAGTACTGAGAGAATTCCTCCAGAACCCTGATCCCATCATCTTCTCTGTCTATAGAGTACTGAGAGAATTCCTCCAGAACCCTGATCCCATCATCTCTCTGTCTATAGAGTACTGAGAGAATTCCTCCAGAACCCTGATCCCATCCTCATCTCTGTCTATAGAGTACTGAGAGAATTCCTCCAGAACCCTGATCCCATCCTCATCTCTGTCTATAGAACTGATCCCATCATCCTCTCTGTCTAGAGAATTCCTCCAGAACCCTGATCCCATCATCATCTCTGTCTATAGAGTACTGAGAGAATTCCTCCAGAACCCTGATCCCATCATCTTCTCTGTCTATAGAGTACTTAGACTCATAACTAAATACAGAAAATATCCCTTGTGAACCCTTCAGTATCCCTTCTGAACCCTTCAGTATCCCTTGTGAACCCTTCAGTATCCCTTGTGAACCCTTCAGTATCCCTTGTGAACCCTTCAGTATCCCTTGTGAACCCTGAACCCTTCAGTATCCCTTGTGAACCCTTCAGTATCCCTTGTGAACCCTTCAGTATCCCTTCTGAACCCTTCAGTATCCCTTGTGAACCCTTCAGTATCCCTTGTGAATCCTTCAGTATCCCTTGTGAACCCTTCAGTATCCCTTGTGAACCCTTCAGTATCCCTTCTGAACCCTTCAATAAATCTACCTATGGCACAACTAAAAAGAATCTGTAATATTGCATGGTCAGGTGTCAAGCATGGAAATGACCTTAAAGGATACTGAGTAAAACATACAAAAAATAATAATAAAAAAAAGAAATGAAATGTGCTTAGCTTGTCTGCCTTGATAAAGTTAAACAAGTGTAGAATATTTACTGTGTGATGTCCCACATTAGATTTTGGTTCTCTCTTCTGTGATAGTGATGATGTGCACTACAACGCTTTACAAAGAGTGTATGTTTTCACACGTGCATTAATGCTGTCATTGTTCCAAAACTGTTGTCATGGCAACCGATGGTGAAAAAGGTCCCTTGCTTCACATAACAAGCAGATTGTGGGTGTTGAGTAGTTACAACACACTTCCTATACTTACACATGTCCGAGTTCGTGAGCAATTGTGTACGCTGCGCTGATGCCGTTGTCTTCTATAATGGAGCAGCTTCTTAATGGATCACAAACAGTTCCTAACTCTGCTAAACCTAAACACAAAACACAGAATCTCAGACATGTATTTAATCAAGGTTAAATAATGAGAAAATCTCACGGTGACAAAATCTTATATCAGGTGTCTGAAGAAACTTGTGACACCACAATAACAGAATCTCTGGAGTAAACCGACTCCAGGATCTATTGCAAAATTTATTGCCATTTGTTACAAATATGAAAACAAAAGTATGGTTAGAGTCAGTCTCAATAAGTGGCACAAACTTAGGTTTGATCATAAACAGAATCCTACTTTTTAAACTGTCTAAGGTAACCAACTGCATGGAATACTCCACAAAACAACAGGGACATGGACAGCCTTGGACAATGACCTGTGTATTATTGTCTTACAACGTGAAATCAGAAAAATGTAAAAAAAAAAAAAACTGTCTAAGTCTCCTATTATCTGGCAACACATCACCAAAATACTTTTTTATATAAAATGTCAGTGACCTTGCCCAGGGTCAAATTTTGATGACCTAGAAAAGCATAACCTAACACTTCTATCCTACTGCAGTGGTCAGTGTCACAACCTCCAAAATACACAGTGGTCATTTATCAACACTCTGGTATCTGATTGGTCAGCATTCTTTCACAAATATAGATAATATATTAAAGTCTTAATAGGTTATTCAAGAAATTGTCATTTTCAATGAGTTCTGTAAAGACTACAATGACTGATGCTTTAAAAATATAAATGTATAGATATAATTTAAAGTCAAACATCATGAAACAAAATATGTAGCAGACAGGACTGTGATGAAGGATACCTGGTCCATTTCTGGTGTCCAGTTACCCGAGTCAATAACTGCTGAGGCAGTGAGGTGTGATGGGAGACTGTTTTCACAGAAAACATGGCTGTGTGTTACAGCTTGAGTGTCGACCAGTGTATATGGGTAGCCCTAACTGCCAAGGTAGATGTCATTAACTCCATCATTATACCTGAGGTATACAGGACCCCAGTGACCATCTGATGTGACATCCAGACACTCCTCTCAGTCTGTAGCCATCATACAATCTACACTAGACTATCAATTTCCTTGTAAAAACCTAGAACCATCAGCAACACTTAATCTCTACCCCTCCTATTACTGTATGTATATCTATACCCTATCCCTCTACCCCTACTACTGTATGTACATCTGTACTCTATACCTCTACCCCTACTGTATGTATATCTGTACCCTATACCTCTACACCTACTGTGTGTATATCTGTACCCTATACCTCTACACCTACTGTATGTATATCTGTACTCTATACCTCTACCCCTACTGTATGTATATCTGTACCTTATACCTCTACCTCTACTACTGTATGTATATCTGTACTCTATACCTCTACCCCTACTACTGTATGTATATCTGTACCCTATACCTCTACCCCTACTGTATGTATATCTGTACCCTATACCTCTACCCCTACTACTGTATGTATATCTGTACCCTATACCTCTACCTCTACTACTGTATGTATATCTGTACCCTATACCTCTACCCCTACTACTGTATGTATATCTGTACCCTATACCTCTACCTGTATGTATATCTACTACTGTATGTATATCTGTACACTATACCTCTACTACTGTATGTATATCTGTACCCTATACCTCTACCCCTACTACTGTATGTATATCTGTACCCTATACCTCTACCCCTACTACTGTATGTATATCTGTACCCTATACCTCTACCCCTACTGTATGTATATCTGTACCCTATACCTCTACCCCTACTGTATGTATATCTGTACCTTATACCTCTACACCTACTGTATGTATATCTGTACCCTATACCTCTACCCCTACTACTGTATGTATATCTGTACCCTATACCTCTACCCCTACTGTATGTATATCTGTATATCTGTACCCTATACCTCTACTGTACCTACTATACTGTATGTATATCTGTACCCTATACCTCTACCCCTACTACTGTATGTATATCTGTACCCTATACCTCTACCTCTACTACTGTATGTATATCTGTACCCTATACCTCTACCCCTACTACTGTATGTATATCTGTACCCTATACCTCTACCCCTACTCTATGTATATCTGTACCCTATACCTCTACCCCTACTACTGTATGTATATCTGTATACTATACCTCTACCCCTACTGTATGTATATCTGTACCCTATACCTCTACCTCTACTACTGTATGTATATCTGTACCCTATACCTCTACTACTGTATGTATATCTGTACCCTATACCTCTACCCCTACTACTGTATGTATATCTGTACCCTATACCTCTACCCCGACTGTATGTATATCTGTACCCAATACCTCTACCCCTACTGTATGTATATCTGTACCCAATACCTCTACCCCTACTACTGTATGTATATCTGTACCCTATACCTCTACCCCTACTACTGTATGTATATCTGTACCCTATACCTCTACCCCTACTACTGTATGTATATCTGTACCCTATACCTCTACCCCTACTACTGTATGTATATCTGTACCCAATACCTCTACCCCTACTACTGTATGTATATCTGTACCCTATACCTCTACTGTACCCTATACCTCTACCCCTACTACTGTATGTATATCTGTACCCAATACCTCTACCCCTACTGTATGTATATCTGTACCCTATACCTCTACCCCTACAACTGTATCAGTCTGGACTAACATGGAGGAAGCTGTACCATCTTGTAATACAGATGTTTAACATCCTGGTAAAGAATTCTGCCATAAACACTGCATCCATCAAAGTATTAAGTACATCATCTTAAGTCAGAAATCTCCTTCCAGCATACAGATGTTCAGTGCAGCATGAAGTCTAACCTAACATCTGATCCAGTTCTATAGACATGCACTAAAACAGTTCTGCTTGATGTTCAGTCGCATCAGGCCCCTTAAAACTACTCATCAGACTCTTCAGCCCCTAAGTACCTAACATATTGCTTACCTTCTGTCCTCTCAGGCCCTTCAGTACCTAAAACTACATTTCTATCTGGGCCTTCACACCTGTCTGACCAGATTCTGATGACTATAATGTGACCAGATTCTGATGACCATACTGTGATCAGATTCTGATGACCATACTGTGACAAGATTCTGATGACCATACTGTGACCAGATTCTGATGACCATACTGTGATCAGATTCTGATGACCATACTGTGACAAGATTCTGACGACCATACTGTGACCAGATTCTGATGGCCATACTGTGACCAGATTCTGATGACCATACTTTAACTAAATTCTGACGACCATACTGTGACCAGATTCTGATGACCATACTGTGACCAGATTCTGATGACCATACTGTGACCAGATTCTGACGACCATACTGTGACCAGATTTTGATGACCATACTGTGACCAGATGACCATACTGTGACCAGATTTTGATGACCATACTGTGACCAGATTCTGATGACCATACTGTGACTAAATTCTGACGACCATACTGTGACCAGATTCTGATGACCATACTGTGACCAGATTCTGACGACCATACTGTGACCAGATTTTGATGACCATACTGTGACCAGATTCTGACGACCATACTGTGACCAGATTTTGATGACCATACTGTGACCAGATTCTGATGACCATACTGTGACTAAATTCTGACGACCATACTGTGACCAGATTCTGATGACCATACTCTGACTAAATTCTGACAACCATACTGTGACCAGATTCTGATGACCATACTGTGACCAGCTTTCAATAACTCGTGTGGCTAGACTTTTTACAATGAAATACATTTCAGAGAATACAGCTGTCATCTTTGCCACTAGTAAATCAAAGTCCTTTCTATTAACTGATTCATGGATATGGTTAAAAACAGTTGAAGCTTTGATATTAAGAATTGCAGTAATGAAAAAGCAATGAAAACAAGACACCCTCATTGACCAAAATGCCTGTGTGACCTGACCTTCTGTATTTTATATCCATCTTTACATTTGATAAAGTTCAAAGGTCATTTGTATTTTTGGGCATTGTTATAGAAACAGTGGACATTTTGATGACAGTTACAGATCACCTGTAGAACCATCCTTTGTCCAGCTGGTTACAGTGATGTTCTTTTGACAATTGCTGTCATTGTGAAATATCAAACGTGGTCTGCCGAACACCCAGCCATCAAAGGACAACACTGGTGCTGAGAAAAAAAATGCTTCTTTTCCATTATCTATTAACATGAAAATGTACACAGAGCAGAGAGGAAAAAACCCAGGCAACACACCTTTCTCTCCTCCACTACCAACAGGCATCAAACGAAGCTACGTCGGGCAGGAAAACGTTTAAATTGGTGTCATCTTGTTGAGATATCTTGTGTCAATAAAATATGATTGCCCTATTTCTAAGAAGAATAAGTGATTTTAGATACCACACACTGCTTTTGATGATAAAATCATACTGCAATTTATCACCTTGAAGTGGGCTCTATTGCTGACATAATCGTTCAATGATAACCATTTTTTTAATGTAACAGTTTGACTGTAATGCTGGGTGTTTCTATGTACAGCTCTGGACTGTGAAGTAGGGCTGATGGGAGATAGGGTCCGCTCAAGGTCAAAGTTCAAGTGCGAGTGTCAAGTTTTTGATTAGATAATGCTACAAGCTGTTTTGTCTGTACCAAGTCTAAATCAGTTCCCCAGCCCCAAAAAGACATTTGTCTATAGAAACAGCAAGATTAAGTACGTAATTTGAATTGTTTTATGAGGGTTTTTTTTTCAAGACACATACCGAGGTATTAGGGATGTTACGTCAGTAGAAGACATTACGTCAACATACCTATCAGGTAGGCATATCCTTCAAAGCTTATCCAAACGTACATGACTGACATCAAACACAACACACAACAATAGAGTAGGGCAGATTTTTCTCACTGTCAGAAACAGGTTACATCTGGTGAAAAGACCTAAAACCCTCACAAAACCACTTGTTACTGAAATACAGCAATCTAGTGTCTCTTTACCCTATACAAGGGTATACCACCCAGTGTGTGCTTCCTGAAAATACTCTCAGCTGATATGTGTATAGTATGTATTTAAATCTGTGTTGGAAGGCCCCATTTTTTCCATCAGAAAACGACCATCTGTTATCATTGGTGGTTCAACAGAGGTGAGCAAGGTCTGTATAAATGTCTGTCTCACCACCTTCAATATCTCACTACTGGACTTTTGGGAATCTCACCACCTTCAATATCTCACTTGTGGACTGTGGGGAATCTCACCACCTTCAATATCTCACTATAGATGTGGACTTTGGGCAATCTCACCACCTTCAATATCTCACTACTGGACTTTTGGGAATCTCACCACCTTCAATATCTCACTTGTGGACTGTGGGGAATCTCACCACCTTCAATATCTCACTACTGGACTGTGGGGAATCTCACCACCTTCAATATCACACTACTGGACTTTGGGGAATCTCACCACCTTCAATATCTCACTACTGGACTGTGGGGAATCTCACCACCTTCAATATCACACTACTGGACTTTGGGGAATCTCACCACCTTCAATATCTCACTATACATGTGGACTTTGGGGAATCCAGTTATACTTAAATCACCGGTCACACAGGGTTACTCTATATCTGTATACTGGTCACACAGGGTTACTCTATATCTGTATACTGGTCACACAGGGTTACCCTATATCTGTATATTGGTCACACAAGGTTACCCCTATATCTGTATACTGGTCACACTGGTTACCCCTATATCTGTATACTGGTCACACAAGGTTACCCCTATATCTGTATACTGGTCACACTGGGTTACCCCTATATCTGTATACTGGTCACACTGGGTTACCCCTATATCTGTATACTGGACACACAGGGTTGTCCCTATATCTGTATACTGGTCACACAGGGTTACCCCTATATCTGTATACTGGTCACACAGGGTTACCCCTATATCTGTATACTGGTCACACAGGGTTACCCTATATCTATATACTGGTCACACAGGGTTATTCTATATCTGTATACTGGTCACACAGGGTTACCCCTATATCTGTATACTGGACACACAGGTTAATTCCTATATCTGTATACTGGTCACACAGGGTTACTCCTATATCTGTATACTGGACACACAGGTTTATTCCTATATCTGTATACTGGTCACACAGGGTTACCCCTATATCTGTATACTGGTCACACAGGGTTACCCCTATATCTGTTACCCCTATATCTGTATACTGGTCACACAGGGTTACCCCTATATCTGTATACTGGTCACACAGGGTTACCCCTATATCTGTATACTGGTCACACTGGGTTACCCCTATATCTGTATACTGGTCACACTGGGTTACCCCTATATCTGTATACTGGACACACAGGGTTGTCCCTATATCTGTATACTGGTCACACAGGGTTACCCCTATATCTGTATACTGGTCACACAGGGTTACCCCTATATCTGTATACTGGTCACACAGGGTTACCCTATATCTGTATACTGGTCACACAGGGTTATTCTATATCTGTATACTGGTCACACAGGGTTACCCCTATATCTGTATACTGGACACACAGGTTTATTCCTATATCTGTATACTGGTCACACAGGGTTACCCCTATATCTGTATACTGGTCACACAGGGTTACCCCTATATCTGTATACTGGTCACACAGGGTTACCCCTATATCTGTATACTGGTCACACAGGGTTATTCTATATCTGTATACTGGTCACTCAGGGTTACCCCTATATCTGTATACTGGTCACACAGGGTTACCCCTATATCTGTATACTGGTCACACAGGGTTACCCCTATATCTGTATACTGGTCACACAGGGTTACCCCTATATCTGTATACTGGTCACACAGGGTTACCCCTATATCTGTATACTGGTCACACAGGGTTACCCCTATATCTGTATACTGGTCACACAGGGTTACCCCTATATCTGTATATTGGTCACACAGAGATATTATGTACATATGATTTGCCCAGGTATTTGTTCAATGATAACACTAAACAGATTTTATCATGCAAAAAATAGATTGCAGATCGATGAAGAATTAATGAAACAAAACTTATATCTTTATCAGAGGTTTGTTATAAAATTTTGATGGTGGTATTTTCTCTGTACAAGCACGTGCTATGCTGATCTGTTAGATCTATTTTGAGAAAATCGGTATCAAGAAATGATAATAAATATCTTACTATACTTACCTAAGGTATCACATTTTTGAGGGGATCTACAGATATCCTGTCTGAAAATAAACAGAGAAATCCCGTTATTTGTGCAGTATACGATAGCATCACACAGTTAACATGAATGGGCTAACATGGCTGGCTCATGGTTATCTGAAAACCTACATGATTCTATACTGATTGGCAAAAGCAGCAAAACGATATATATATTTCCAATGATTGAAAACATGATAAAGTTGAAATTCAAAATCATGCAAATTATGTATTAACACTTAAGAAGGTATTCCATATCATGATTCCGAGGAGATAAAATATGACTTTATATCAAGCGAAATGTATATGAAATATTCCTGGAGATATCAAACATGTTCATATTATGTAATGTTTTATGGGGATCGCCATAGTAAACTCTAGACGATACAGTAGGTATGTGTAACAATTCTGGGTGGAGGAATGGAATAGCATGGGGATGATTGGATAATGATCCTGGTTGGCTGGAGTGGAGGGATGGAACAGTGGGACTATATTGTAGTATGTGACTATTGTAGTATGTGACTATATTGTAGTATGTGACTTTTGTAGTATGTGACTATATTGTAGTATGTGACTATTGTAGTATGTGACTATTGAAGTATGTGACTATTGTAGTATTTGACTATTATAGTATGTGACTATTGTAGTATGTGACTATTGTAGTATTTGACTTTATTGAAGTATGTGACTATATTGTAGTATGTGACTATATTGTAGTATGTGACTATTGTAGTATTTGACTTTATTGAAGTTTGTGACTATTGTAGTATGTGACTATATTGTAGTATGTGACTATTGTAGTATTTGACTTTATTGAAGTATGTGACTATATTGTAGTATGTGACTATTGTAGTATTTGACTTTATTGAAGTATGTGACTATTGTAGTATTTGACTATATTGTAGTATGTGACTATTGTAGTATTTGACTATATTGAAGTATGTGACTATTGTAGTATGTGACTATTATAGTATGTGACTATTGTAGTATGTGACTATATTGTAGTATGTGACTATTATAGTATGTGACTATATTGTAGTATGTGACTATATTGAAGTATGTGACTATTGTAGTATTTGACTATTATAGTATGTGACTATATTGTAGTATGTGACAATTGTAGTATGTGACTATATTGTAGTATGTGACTATATTGTAGTATGTGACTATTGTAGTATTTGACTTTATTGAAGTGTGACTATATTGTAGTATGTGACTATATTGTAGTATGTGACTATTATAGTATGTGACTATTGTAGTATGTGACTATTGTAGTATGTGACTATATTATAGTATGTGACTATATTGTAGTATGTGACTATATTGTAGTATGTGACTATTGTAGTATGTGACTATATTATAGTATGTAACTATATTGTAGTATGTGACTATTATAGTATGTGACTATATTGTAGTATGTGTAAATATATCTTTACAGTGAATGAAATGATACTATATTTATACCACAATAAGATCCAGATATTTGGCCAGTTGTTACAATTAGCCGAGGTTTGTGTACATTTTTACCATGGATCGGTCAGTAATTCATTCAAGAAACCTATAAAGGCTTTATTAAAACCAGGTGTGTGGTTGAGAAGACAAGCATGTTTATGAGATGACCTTTGATGACCTTGGAATGATCTTATTGCACTGGCCTTTTACAGCTTCCCAAACAATAACATGCCTCCTGCCTGTGTGTTCAGAAGCAAGCTTCTTAGAGCTGAGGTTGTTAAACCAAAGGAAGGTAATTTCCCTATGTTGAACTATGAGACTGAAATTATCGATATTCAATTAAAAAACCTAACTGCTTTTTGTGACTTAAAGCTAGAGAAATTTCTCTACAATGTCTTATATACAAACTACATTAGAAAATTTTATGTCGACAAACTGCGGTGAAAGTCAACAAATGTGGACATGGATGAATATTACTCCACCTCAGTGACTGTGAACCAATCACAGACCATGGTGGTGACTGTGAACCAATCACAGACCATGGTGGTGACTGTGAACCAATCACAGACCATGGTGGTGACTGTGAACCAATCACAGACCATGGTGGTGACCGTGAACCAATCACAGACCATGGTGGTGACTGTGAACCAATCACAGACCATGGAGGTGACTATGAACCTATCACAGACCAACCACATTGTTGACAATGAACCAATCACAAATAACCTTGGTGATTGTGAACCAATCACAGGCCACGTAGGTGACAATAAACCGATTACAGACACCTTTGATGAATGTACCAATGATATAATTTGATGGGTAAGAATGGTTATTGTCAACATTTGATAAACAAGAGCTGTAACCAACAGCACAGACAAGCAAAGCAATTTTTCAACATTTGACAGGGTGACTAATATATGCATCACAAATTTTTCAGCTATAGAAATTTAGAATTAAATTTGGCAAAAGAGTTGCCCCATCACACTTCCTATTGTCACTGTCAGAAGTCAACTGGTACATTTCAACCCTAAAAACTCAATACACAGCTCTGGAATTGAAAAACAGACTGAAGAGTCATCTAAGATTTACAAATCCTGTGACTTAGTTGTGACACAATATTACCATTTGAAAAACACCGGTGTGCTACAGTAAGTGAGGCCATGAAAGACATCCTCAATAGATGATATCTCTGTGAATGTAAAGATTATCTCCCATTTAGATCCCATCTCTGCCCTTCATTCACAAAAGAAATGACAAAAATTTAATACAAAATTCAGCAAAGTTAAGAGATTTGAATGTAGAATAATATTTGCTGATGTGAGAATTTGCAAGATAGGAGCTATTTACATTATAACCCAAAACACGGATATTAGGGTCACTCAGTGTATTGTGTCACTGTTGAATAGTACTGCTCGGCCATTAAAGTTAAACTGACCTTTCAACTACGCTGTCCTGATCAAAGGAGGACAATACAATGTATGAAGAAAATCCTGTTCACAACATGAACTTATTTATAACCTAAAGTTATCAAGCCCAAAATTCTATGAATGAAATCAGAATTAGAGTACATTTTTATTACTTGTTTTTTCTTTGTTGTACATAGATGTTATTTTAACTACAGATTTAAGATAAAACCCTATTGGACATATTGAAAAGACTGATTATTAAATACAAACTGACAAACCTATCTGTGAATTATCTAGGATTTATCCCACTAGACAGAGTATTGGCGTGTCAACAGTGAGGGCCATTCCAACATCATACCAATGACAGTTACAGTAGAAATACATGACAAGTACAAGCAACCTATCATTACCTATAGAGCTAATACTACCTCTCATCATACAGCGATGACATTGATAATGTCTGTAAACTCAAATGTAAGACATATTGTGCTGATGTCTTTTAATCTGATTAAAAAATTTTTGTTTTAGTTTCCTTGGTACAGAGGATGTTGTACGTTAAGAATAATGAATGTGTTCCTCCACCCTCATGTGATGGATACAGATTTGATCTTAAATGTTAGTTCACTGAATTTTGGAATGGATTAATCATACATTAAAAAACACTTGAAATTTTACAAGATATCAACATAAAAACAACTTCAAGTTTCTAAATTTTTCACTGTAAAAAAAATCACCATTTCCTCCAATGAATTAAGAAATTAAACAATTTTTTTTTTCAGCATGTGTTATTCTTCAGAAGATTTCTATCTAATATTAGTGATCTTCTGCACTGAAATACACGTAAGTGGAACAGATGGCCTAAACTTTTTTTTAACAAATCCTGAAACCTTTAAATTAATCTACCTATAAAAAGTGAGGATTTGCCAATCCACAGTAGCTATACTGTGATGCATTACAAAACTGCAGGGCTACAAGCGACTCATCACCAGTACTGCCACCTGTACGTACAGTAAGGTAGTGACTTTGTTCCCCTTCCTTCCTCCTATACATTTAAGGAGCCATTTTTGGAGGGAAAAATCCTGTCCAAGAGAGAGGAATATAACCCTTAATTATCCTGTTAAAGCAGGTCAGTTACATATTGTCTATAAAGGTCAGTTAGAGATCCTCACCTGTCTATAAAGGTCAGTTACAGAACAAATCCTCACCTGTCTATAAAGGTCAGTTACAGAACAAATCCTAACCTGTCTATAAAGGTCAGTTACACACAAATCCTCACCTGTCTATAAAGGTCAGTTACAGAACAAATCCTCACCTGCCTATAAAGGTCAGTTACAGAACAAATCCTCACCTGTCTATAAAGGTCAGTCACAGAACAAATCATCACTTGTCTATAAAGGTCAGTTACAGAACAAATCCTCATCTGTCTATAAAGGTCAGTTACAGAACAAATCCTAACCTGTCTATAGAGGTCAGTTACACACAAATCCTCACCTGTCTATAAAGGTCAGTTACAGAACAAATCCTCACCTGCCTATAAAGGTCAGTTACAGAACAAATCCTCACCTGTCTATAAAGGTCAGTCACAGAACAAATCATCACTTGTCTATAAAGGTCAGTTACAGAACAAATCCTCATCTGTCTATAAAGGTCAGTTACAGAACAAATCCTAACCTGTCTATAGAGGTCAGTTACAGAACAAATCCTCACCTGTCTGAACAATGGAGTTATAGTAATACAACTTATTGTATCAGAGTTGTACCAAAGTTTAGTAGCTATGGTTGTAATAAAGACACAATTTAATTCACAAACATATCGGGTATGGAGTTTAAAGCATTGCCAACATTGTAGCATGTTTCGTACTTTTTTACTGAATGACCTTGACACAAAATGATAACATGAACACGAAAATCTATTCAGATGGGGACTGACGTGAGTAAAGCATAACAAACTAATTAGTATTAAACATAAAGGTCAAGGTCACTTTGTGTTTCTACACAAGGTTATCACCTATAAAACCTCAAAGGTCAGCTTCCTGATCAAGAATATGCTCGCATTGATAAAAGTCTCGTTTTACACATAGAATCAAAGGTCACTGATAAAGTAACAGTGGAGATAACTCCAGCAGATTCCTAGTATTCCACCTCAAACAAATTTATTTCTTTTTGAGA